GGTGAGCGCCGGGCCCGGCCGCGCCTTCCGCTCCGGAGCGAGAGCGGGTCGGCTGTCCCTCCGTCCGTCCGTCCTTCCTTCCGTCCATCCACCCACCTACCCACTCGCCACAGCCGGGGCCCGGCCCAGCCTGCAGCGGAGCCCGCGAGAGTCAGCGCCATGGCGGAGCAGACCTACTCCTGGTGAGTGCGGGGCTCCGGGAGGCCGAGGGTGGGGGCCGAGCGCCGGCGCGGCCGGGGGCGTCTGTGATGTGTGTGTGGGGGGGGGGACCGGGCGGACGAACAGGTGCGTGCTGGGTGGCCGGGGCGCGCGCGCACCCTGCACCCGGGGACGGCCGGGCACTCTGCGTCCGCCTAGGGCGATGGACGAGGAGGAGGCGACGGGCAGCGGATGTCACCCGGCCTTTGGGCGGAGCGGGTGATGGAGAATGGGGAGCGTGACCCCGAGGGTGGGAATCCCGCGGATGCGAATTCCAATCCCGTAGCCACCTAGGAACTGACTTGTTGGGGGGGTGGCTTCTGGGCATGGAGGGATCGGCAGGATGCAGTGGGGGTGGCCAGGGCCAGGGTGGGCCAAGGGGCCCAGAGGACGCTCTGGTGAGAACAGGTGATAAGAGGCAGAACTTCGAAGTTGGGAGAGAGGAGGAGCCACTTGGATGGTGGGGCTGCAGCCTCGCTCTGGGATGGGGAGCAGGCTGGTGAGGGGTGAGGGTGTGAGGCTCAGGCGGGAGGGAAGGGAAACTTGGGAGGGGAAGGGTCAGGGGCCCTGTGGAGGGGAGTCGCTGGTGACGAAGAACCTGCGTGGATAGCCAGACTTTGGAAAGGAAGTTGTTGGGGGCACTGGGGCTTGGGCAGAACCCTTGCAAACATGGGCACTCAGTTCTTCCGAAATGAAAGTGGCCTCTTTATGTGGGCCCCCTAAAGTGAAATAGTCCTTCTGGACTTAGAAGCATACCCTCGTTTATGGAGTGACAGCATGCGTCTTCTGAGAAGGGCGGGCCATGGCTTGGGGGAAAAGGGGAGGTGAGAGGATTCCTTGAATGATGCAAGGTGGCACATTTGCAGGAGAGGCTGTCTGGGAGGGTGATTTTAACCATGAGGGTGAACGTTGCACGTTGACTGGTTGGAAGGAGGCATGGCTGGCGCGTGAAGCAGCAGGTGATAGCAGTCAGTGGAGTGGGAAGTCTGATTGCAATCTCTAGAGAGATGGCTTGTTTGCCCTTTGAAGCAAATGTGTTTTGGAGCAAAACTGTAGACTTTCCCTCCCTAGAATCAGCTCACTACCATCCATTTGGGTGGTGATCCTCCAAGCTCAGGCTGCTCCTCGGAGGCAAGCTCAGTCTCACATACTTCCTGCACGTGGACAGAAGAGACCAGTCCTTGGAGAAGGACATCATGCTTTGAAGGGTGGAGGGACAGCACAGGAGAGGAAGATCACAGATGAGGTGGATTGACTGAGTAATTGGGATATTGGACGTAGGTGTGTCAGAGACAGGGAGATCAGCTCAGGATGGGACAGGGTTCAGAGCTATTGTACAATAACAGCAACAAATAGAAATGGGAGGAGGCAGCCTCTTTCTCTCTTTTGCAGTGGGCTGGTGGGTTTGAACCATCGGAGACACTCACCTTTTTGATAAGCAGCGCAGCAGCCTAAGGACTAGACTACCGAAGCTCTACTTCTCTTTTTAAGCAAGAGAGTATAATTGAGAGAGAAGAAAGCATAGTGCTTAGCATTAGCTCAGAGTTGACCACTGACTTGTTTTATAACTGGTTGATCTGGTAGTTGAAGATAGTATTAAGTGCTCCATTTCTTTAATTTTAAAATTAAGTGTCTGTCTATTAATTTAAAGGTTGTAGCTCCAACGGGAGAAAGACCTGGAAATCTATTCATAGGGCAGAACTCTATGAGACAGCTTTACTCAGTCAGTGGGGTCACTTTGAGTTGAAAACAACTTGCTGGCACCCAGCAACAGAGCTTTTGTCACAGACTTGTAAGGAGTAAGTGAAAAACTTGACTAAACTCTTGACAAGCTGCAAAGTGAGCGCTATCTTTACTCCTTGGGTTGTATTTGTCTTAGAGAGGCATCAAAGATGTTGGTAAAAGCTTTGAAAAGGAAAGCCTTTTGTTAAAAGGTTTTAAGCTGGATATGATTGTGGTCTTTGGGGCCCTGAAGAGTCAAAAGACTCATGTGCTCACAGAGGAGAAAAAGGACTGGCTGATGAGAGAGGGAATTTGAACAATGCATGGACAGTCTGATGAAGAAGGTAATTGAAGAGGATGATGGAATAATCCAAAGGAAGAATTAATTTCTTGGTTAGCAAATTGTGACCTCTTGAGAACTATGTGCTTTTTTAAAATTGTGGGAAGAGTATGCAAAATACGCCAGAACCTTTGTGTACATGTGATTTTTTTTTAAAGGCATTTAAAGAGATTAGAGAATTTGGGCCTCTAGTAAGCTGTCTCTCTGTCACAGATGATGTAGAACAACAGTGCTAACAGTCCGAGCGTTCTTATAGACTCAGTTATGAAACAAAGGCCAGCTGAAAAAGCCTGCTGGCCCCATTGTTGTTTTTCTTTGGACTGTACATTAAGGAACTGTGGTGGTATCGTTGGTGATGTATTGGACTACTACCTGAAAGGTTAGTAGTTCGAATCCACCGGTGACTCCAGGGAAGGAACTAGACAGTGTCTTCCTGTAAAAATTTACAGTGTTGGAAGCCAAATAGAAGATTGCAGTGGGTAGAGAAATGAAGTCAGTGTCAGTGGCCAGTAAAGGCTGTCAGTGGCAGAAGGAGAGAAAAACACAGGTCAAGAAATGGGAGGAGATAATTTTCCACTATAGGTTGACCACGGACAATTCGGTGTAACTTCTGATCAGATCCGTGAATTAAGGGAGGATTATCTTGTGAAGTAGGCGTTTCCAAGATTTATTCTAAGGAGTTTCTTCCAGCCTTAGCTCTCTGTGTTTGTGTCAGTTGGCCAGGAAGCACTTTGAAATCACTTTCCTTGCTTTTAGCAAGATGTGAGCTGGAGAAAGTATATCTTATTTGATTGACTCTCTTTAGTTCTCCCAAGCCCCTCAGGCAGCTGTACTTGTCTTTTTAGTAGAGGATGAAACGGAGGCTCTGTGGGCCAGTGCAACTACCCAAGGTATGTTAGTGCTAGTGATGTGTTAAACTTAAGTTTTTTGTCCTCATTAAGGTACTTTGTTGTTATGTACTATGGAGTCGGAACTGACTAGTAGCTGACCCTCCAGTGGGTTTTCAGAGGTCATAAATTGCACAAGATCAGACTACCTGTCTTTCTCCTGCCAAGCAGCTGGTGGATTTGAACCATGTACCTTTAGATTGGGAGCATAGCTCCTTACCACTGGGCCACCAGAGCTCCCTATCAAAGTTTAAGTATGGAGAATTTATTTCAGAAGTATTAACTGGTTTTTTGATAATCTGTCATTTTCCAGTGCCTTTGGTGTATAGAGATAAGAGTTGATTGAGTTTAAAAACCCGATTTGCCTTTTATTTTATTGTATGTGGAGACCACGCTGGCACTCTGACCTCGTCTGAGAATGGAATTGGTGAGATATGTAGAAGCATGGGAAAATAGACTCCTCTCCGAGTTTAATGTAGTAAAGCCTATCAAATGTGAATCAGTGTAAGTTGGTAACTTGAATTTATTGTCTACTTTGGCATGTTTAAATTTTTTCCTAATAATAAAGCCTTCAGTATATACCGTGTTGACCTTGTGTGCGTGCTCTCTTCTAGAATATTCTCTAAAATCTGTTCCTTTAGTTCTTAGGTGCAACTCATAGGGACCCTAGGAGCAGCAGATCTGAACCCTGACCTCTCGGGCACCATCCTCATCCCTGATACGCTCAAGCCTGTGCATACAGCCACTGTGTCAAGTCTGTCTTGCTGAGGGTCTTCCTCTCCTCCTCTGACCCTCCGCTTCTCCCAGCATGATGTCTTTTTCCAAAGACTGGTCTCTCCTGACAGTGTGCTCAAAACCTATGAGACCGAGTGTCACCGTTCTTGCCTTTGAGGAACATCTTGGTTGTTCTTCTTCCAGGGCAGACTTGTTCATTCCTTTGGCAGTCCTCGGATGTTCAGTACTACTCTTCAGCAACACAGTTCAAAGGCATCAGTTCTTCTGTCATCCTTATTCATTGTCCGACTTTCAGATGCATAGGAAGCAATTGAAAATATCATGGCTTGCATCAGGTGCACCTTTGTCTTTAAACTGACAGCTTTCACTTAGGTGAGACCCTTGACATGAGATTTTCCCCAGAGCAGCACAGCTTTTGATGTCTTGACTCCTGACATCACAGATGTTGATTGGTTCGTCGTTGAGGGCTCAGCTCACATTCTGCCTAGTTGGGAAGCATTGTCTGACCACGCCTTCTGAAAGACATCTCTTTATTTTCAATACTGTTTTTCGGTGTACATCACTTCTTGTTTTCCACCTATAAATACCCAGTCTCCACATTAGATTGTACGCTTCTTGAACATAAGGGCCATATTCCATTATCCTTCTGTTGCACGGTCTTGCATGTAGCACTTGCTTAGTAAATAATGTGGGATTGTATATGTTGATGGGTCTTCAGAATGGTTTTTACATTGTTGGAAGGATATTAAGCCTGAAGAGAAAATCAGTGAATATCTGTAGTCTCACTACTTGGGGACAAGGGAGTTTTTGGTGCCTTATTTTGTTTACTGGTATCCTAGTACCTAGGGCTCTTCTAGGACTGCTGCCCCCTAATAAAGTTATGAGAGGGGGATTATGCCCAGCATTTCCCAAGTTAAGAGAACTGAAGAATGAGTTCAAGAGTGGAGTTGTAATACTGAAGGATTCTACAGGTAGATGATTGAACAACACGAGAAGCATCGTTTGAAGATGGTCGGCGTACATAGCCACTGTGTCACAAAGAATTAGTTGAGATTTAGCTATTCAGGCGGCTTAATGTCATCAGGAACCAGTGGTACTGAGTTGTTAGTGAAAAGCAGGACTCCAGGATTGAGAGACTACCAGTGGAGATGCTTTGACGAAGGGGTGCAATTCTACAAGGGTTCCCTTGTTTTAACCAGCAAATGTGGAAGGCTGTTCCACCCAGCCCGCTGACTGGAAGAGATTCATATTTGTATGCATCCCAAAGAAACAAGATCCAGCTAAATGCAGAAGTTACTGA